AACTATCCCTCAGATCCAAAGCATGGGACTAAGCTTCACTTGAGTTTGAAAGAGGCAAATTTAGAACAAACCAAAGACCTTCCTGCTTCCCACAGCAGAACTGGCTTTAGAGAATTTGTTCCCCAGTGAATATAAGCTGAGAATATGAGGAGATTTGGGGCAGGTTCAGATAAAACCACTGGTAATTAGATCCCTTAACGGACTATTAAGAGAAACTAACTATTTTGGGACTGTTGTAACTTTCAGAAACATCTTTAATCACTTGAAGCTGACATTCTGACCTAGGGTGACCTGACCTTCAGTGCCCCATAGGACTCATGGACTGCCCCTATGGGACATTTCCAGTGTCCTTAGATTATGAGAGTGCCCCAGTCCAGGAGATGACCTCCTACCATAGTAACAGCGATTCCCCTTAAGAAGGAAGGAAGAGCAGCTCATCCTTGGGCACCTTTCAGAGGAAGAAAGGTACGCACTGGTGACTTCAGGGTGAGCCCAGAAAGGTGCTGAAACATGCTGTCCCCTTTGGTCTACAACCTCCTGACCACATTCCTTCCTGCTGCTTCATTCTCCCTGGGGTCCTAGACCAGAGAAGCGGGGCCTGGGGGGGGCAGGATCAGAATAGTTCTGTGGTGTGACAGCAAAAAGCTTGACCTGGCCCCTTTCCTGGGGCCAGACCCTGAGACCCTTTCCCAATTTCCTGTCTCAGATATGCTGAGCAAGCACAGGCCTTCCTCCTTGGTGGGAGCAGCTGGTCTCAGGCCAGCAACTCTAAAGAGTTGAGTCACTCAGTGTCTTTCCTTCCTCAGCTTTCCATCCTGCTGGAATGTCAGATAGGAGCTCCCCTTTTCTGATTTGTCTGCTGAAAGCCACAGGATGGCAAATTAAAGGTGCCTTTGGCAAAAACCACAAACCCTCATCATGGGCTTGGTTCCTCTCCCAGGCCAGTAATTTCCTTTCTGGTCACCACAAGAGCTAATATTTACTCTTCCTGAATGAACTTTTCTGCATCTTTGGGGAGCCTGCTGGCACTAAGCCAGTGATACACAAGAGGGCATGGTGTATCACAGCCCAGAATCCCCCACGCACAAACTGTGCATGTACCAGGTGACAGGAAGCCACCCAACAATGTCTTCTCCACAGATTCAAATGATTCTAACATTACAGCTTCATTCCTTTGGGATGATATTTATTCTTATTTAGATAATAGCAGTGGTGCTCACTTGTATCATCACTTGCCCAACACTTGACAGTTTACAAAGAACACTCATTATTTTAAGCCTTACAACCTTATGTGAGATGGAGTGGGCTAGCAATTCTATCTTTGTTTACAAATCAGCAACGAGAATGCAGATGACCTGCCCAAAATCACAGAGCTGCTGAGGAAGACAGCTGGATCTTCTGGTCCCCAGCTCAGGGCATTCTGCATCACAGCATGCACAAGGCCTTTTTGGTACTCCTACCAGAGCACAGGGGAAGGAAAATATGGAAAGAACTGGGCATTTGTGGCCCTGTGTAAAGAAAACTTGCTCTCCTCCTTTGACAACCAAATGCTGGGCCTACCAACCTGGGGAATCTTTGAGCTACTCCAGCTGCCCCCATAGGAGAGTCTACCTAGGACAGATTCCTCTGATCTCTAAAGCCTGGTGGATCCAGCGAAAAGGATACCAGCCCAGTTAGCCTCTTCGGAAGGCAGCAGCATACCATCCTTGCCAAGCCCCTCAAAGCCTATGCCCGCAGGATATCTCTGCTTAGGCCTAGTAGCCTTGGGGTCTTTCTGAGCTCAAGACTGCACAGCTAGAAAGGTCTTATCTCTTATCTCATGCATCTAAAGAACTGAAAAATGCACAAAAGAATTAATGGTAACCCAGAGCCAGAAGAGCCTGTAGAAGTCATCTGCCTGTAACCCTCCATAGTATCTCTGACCGGAGTTTGTCTGGGTCCTGCTTAGGGAAGTCACTACTACCCAGGCCTGTCCTTGACATGATTCAGATTTACGATGGGCAAATTTTTGTCCACTAAGCCCTATTAATTCTTACAATTTAGGAAACTGAGACTTAGAGATTAAGTAACTTGTCCAAAGTCAATGAAGGAAGAAGTTGTTTCCAGACCCATTTTATTCTTCCAGTTGTCTTTTAAAAGTTTCCCAGAAGTGGTGACATTACTTTTTCATGAGGCTTGATCAGGCAAAATAGTAGTGGACCTATGACTCCCCCTTATTGAGACACCTTAAGCTACAGCAGCATCACACATTGGCATCCTCTGGACTTCAGTCATTTTGTAAGTGTCGGGTTGTTTGGAGGGTTTTTTTCTTTCTCTTTTGTGTGTGTGTGTGTATGTGTGTGTGTGTGTGGTACTGGGGGTTTGAACTCAGGTCCTCACACTTGCTAGGCAGGCACTCTACCTACCACTTGGGCCACTCCTCCAGCCCCTTTTCCTTAGTCTGCAGTGATGCCACCCCCCACCACTTCCCTTTTGTGTGTAACTGGTCACATGCTTTGGACTTCACATTCTTACCTGTTTGAGTCAACCAGCTTCCTGAGGGAAACTGCTGCTCAGTCTGCCCACGAGTCCTTGCCTTGAGCTGGCTGCAGGCCAGACTTTGGCGGTGACGCCAGAGTGACCAGACTTCTGTGGAACTCCGTATCCCAGGAGGCTCCTGGTGACTGCATACAGATCCCATGGTAGCCAAACCCCACAGGGAATAAGCCCTCAGCCCCTAGCAGACAGCAGGCTTGTAGACTGAGCCAGAGTGTCTCAGCCTGGCAAGCAATAGTCCTTGGGGACCCTCTTCCCCTCCTCCTAGAGCCCCTGAGAAGCCTTCAGTTCCACAACCTCTATAGGGCCCGGGACAGGGGAAGCTCCTCAGGCGCCATCAAGAGTGGCCAAGACACGTTCCCAGTCTGAGTCCCAAGGAATGCCTCTGGGAGCTGTTCCCCCAAAGCTTTGGGAAGAACACTTTTGGGCTCATTTCACCCTTGAATGTCTCACATGTCTATTTCTGTGGCTGAGGAGAGCCAGGGCCAACTTGTATGGTATGATCACCCCGTGAGTTCATCTTGTTAGGCTGTGGGGAGGAGACTGGCAAGAGCCAGTCTAGTGGCTCTACAAGCTCGAATTTCGCTGTCCTACACCTGAGTGTCCATCTCAGGCAATGAGAGGCCATGACATTGATGGTATGGTCTAGATTAGAGAGTAGATAGTAAGGTCAGGTCTAGAAGAAGTAGGTGTATTTAGGACATGAAGAAGAGAAAAGGCAGGGCTGGAGGCATGGCTCAAGTGGTAGAGTGCCCACCTAGCAAGCATAAGATCCTGAGTTTCAAACCCCAGTACCACTAGAGGGAGGGGAGGCAATTAGGGATGTTGGTAAAATAGTATCTGCCTCATAAAGCCATTGTAATATAGAAGGGAGATATTGCATAAAGGGCCCCAGGTGACCTGGCATACAGTAAACACTCAGTAGGTATTAGCTGTAAATTACTTAGAGAGGTTAAGTGGCACAATTAGGGAAGGAGTTTAGGAGGATAACAGGTAGCCATAGAGGAGATAGATTGGAGAAAGAAGAGTTGAAAGAATTAGGACACTGTTGTAATCTAAGTAAGAACTGATACAGTCCTCAGCAAGGCCAGTAAGCAGAGTGTGGTCAGTCTTAGGTGCCCTTGGGGCTGACTGGGTGGAGTGTTCTGCAGCTGGCTTGTTGAATGTGGGTACCACAGTGTCAGGGCTCCTGGATCCAGTGAGAATGCCAAGAAGAAAGGAAAGAGTTGGTGTTCTTGTGATTTGTGAGCACTCCCCTATGTGGTGCTAAGGACATTTCAGGGGCCCCACTTGCTGTTATTATCTAAAATCCTCTTAGACCAGTTTGAGACCTCCTAGTATAGGATAGTAGGGATAGTACTTCTGTCTACTTCCTTGGTAGTAGGGCTGAATACAGGAGGGGACATTAATGGCTAGAATCAAACCCAGGGGGAAGGGGGACCAGAAGGAGAAGCTGTGTTGAGGTGAGAACAGGGCTCAGGGCTCATTGCAGAGGAGCAGAGCAATAGAAGGGGAAATGGAGGGTACCGAAGATGCTCTTAGCTAGCCCTCCTCACAGCCCTGGCTCCAAAGCCCCTCCCTGAGGTCACCATCAGCACACTTGTCAGGCTTTAGCTTAGAGAGTATTTCCCTTATGCCAAAGTCACTCTTCAAATGCTCACTAGGTTTAATACAAATGTCAGACAAACTTAAGTCACATGCACCTTTGATCCTGTCAGAACATAATCAGAATCACAGCTGGGAGAAGAGGAAGCATGGGAGTGGAGCCATGTTTTTGGGGAAAATGTAATCGTGCTGTTTAAGAGGGAAAAACAGTTTGACCCTGAGCAGTTCATAAACATTAACATCTTACTCCTTCCTTCTGGGTAAGGAGGATTCTGGGAAACAAATAAGTGGCTACTCTGTCTTTCAAGTTCCTCCCCTGAAGGGTTCCAGCCCATTTCAGAGAGTAAATCTGACCCTGAGTCAGCCCCAGAACTGATCCCACCCCAATCCCGTCTGTTCGCTCCAGTTGAGAATTGAGCCAAGTCTAGGCTAGTCACCTGGTCCAGTCACCCAGCCCCCTGCCTTCCTCTCTGGAGCCACCTACAACCTAACCCCTCCTTTGCTTTAGGAAGCCAGGCCTATAAGGGCAGGTGGGACCTGGATATCAGGCAAGCACCGAGAAGAAACCAGGTGGGGATAAAAGACTCAAAGCTTCTAGAAAAAGCAAGTCTAAAAGACAGCAAAGTGAAAAGGAGTTTGAGGAGGTCTCAAAGCATTTTGTCTTGCAATGTGTTCACACCCACACCTCACTCCAGCAACAGCCAGAGGCTGAGGGTCCCTGGGAGGTGTTTCTGGAACAGCACGAACTCCTGACCAGATCCCAGCGGATTCCACTGCAGTCTTGTCACCGAGCCACAGGGTTTCTCTTTGGAATTCGCTTGTAGTTTTGTTTTTATCTGTTTTGCATTTTTGTCTTCCAGAGTGGAACACTTAAGGATCCGGACTCGAGCAAGACCCCACCTCAGCGGCCACCCCCCCAAGGTTGTTTACAGTATATTCTCGACTGTAATGGCATTGCAGTAGGGCCAAAACAAGTCCAAGCTTCTTAAAGTGATCAGTAGTAAATTTTTCAAAGCAGAAATTTTAAGCCAAAAACAAATGAAAAGAAAAGAAAGGCAAGTGGGGAGGAGAACAGACCCTCCCGTTGGTAGCTGGTGCCGTTGCTGCATTCTTTCAATGCTGACTGGACTGTTTTTCCTATGCAGTGTCAGCTGCTCTGTTTGGTTGTTTATCTGTTTGTGCTTGTATTGCTCACTTACATTTCTCTGTATAACTTGTGATTCCAGGGCTGTTTGTCAACAGTGTACAAAAGAATCATGCCTCTCCTAAGTCCAGTGTGATTCTATCTTCTGGGTGGTTTCATAGTGTTTTTGAGGCATTACATGACATGCGGTGAGATAGGAACAGCAGGGATGGACCAGGGGGTGGGGACAGTGGGGGGGGTGGGGGAGCAATCACGACAATAAAGCCAACTCCCCTCCTCCCCCCCCAGGCTCAGATTACGGGTCTCCCCTCACCTCCATGAGTGTGCCTGGGATCTCCAATGAATTGTGCTTATGCTTCCTTTCTGCATGACTAGGCCAAATAGATAGAACTTCTAAGAGATTTTCAAGGTCTAATTTCCATAGCTTCATCTGTTGAATCTGAAGACATCCACCTTTTTCTCCATTTGCTAAAATTTGGTGCAGTTTGAGTTTATGTGACTAGGCTGGCTGTGCCTGTAGAGCTCTTGTGTTTTTAGTGATGAAATACAAAGAACAAGTTACTTCCAGAAATGTGTTATGTATTTTACATCACAGTGTACCCTTTGTTTTTATTATTAACTAATTAGCTATGAGATTAAACAAACAAAAAACATGGGGCCGCTGATGTGCAATATCCAAGTGAACTTGTGAGTATTTTCTGTGTGTTGATCTCGGTTCCTGAAAATGTTTCTTCTTTGTTGCTGTTTATGAACCTGCCATATGTGGCTTCTGTGGAACCCGGGAGGCTTTGTATTCCCCAAAGCTTGACCTGTGTGCAGAGATGATTCTTTAGCAAAGAGAATGCAGGAAACTGCTGACAGTCTGGGAAGGGTTTGACCATTCCTGAGGCATCATAACATGAGACCAAATTAGCAATGCCCCATGTCACCCGAGTGGGTTCACTGCCTACAGAACTCTGAGATTGGCTCCAGTGTTAGTTTTCAGCTGCCACCTCCTCCAGAGGCCTGAGAATGGAGAGCTTTCTGGAAAGAGCTGTCTCGGATGTAGCTTGTGCAAGTGTTTGTCCTCTTTCCTCTGACAAGCAGCACCTGGGCAAAAGATGCTGTGGTTAATTAAATCAGGACTCGGGGGTCAGTGCCTCATCTTGCCATATCTGGGCAGGGCAGGGAATGGTACTGAGTGGCCTTCTCTAGCCCCAGGGCCCATGGGAGTTCATGCCAGCAGTTTGCCTTTTAGAAAAACCATGCTTCTGGCTCTACTTTTACATTCCCTCCCACCTCTGTACTGACATAGCCCAGTTTTGAACTACCTGCCAGTTCTAAGGAGTGAGTTCATGTTGGTAGCATGAGTTATGTGACAGGGACACATGCCCTGATTTCTCCTGTGGTTGCTGGCAAATTCTGAGGCCACAGAGAAATGTGAAGAGTGTGAATGTTCTCACCTGCTATATCCTCCCTTTGATGATGATGGTGGTAGTCTGTTGTAAATATATGCATATATGCACATACGCACTTCTAGGTGGGTTGCATAAGAATCAGGTCCTTAAATACTTCCCAGTCTGATGAAGTGATAGACAGGAATAAAGTCACATTTCCCAGAATGGAGGAATACATTTTTTGTTGTTGTTGTTTTCAAATTTTTTTATCCAAATGCTGAGCTGATGGTGGTGTTGCTTCTCTGCATGTTTTCAGTGTGTACATCCAGGTGCTTTTCATGTGACATTTGTGACCCACAAATATAAAGTTGCCATTTGAATTCAGTCAGGCTAAAGGGGTAGTGTTAGCCAAGGTCTCTCAGGTGAGGGAGAAACTGATTAGGGCTCCCACTGCCACACACAAGCAGACAGCATCACCTGACTATCATGTGCCCTCAGGCAGCATGCTAAGGGACAACTCTGTGGCCTGGGGGACACCTTTGTCACAATGTAGATTACCATTCAGGTGTTTTGTACCCATTTCTTTTCTGATGTTGTCCCCCTTTTTTTGTACTGATCTAGCTGGGAGACCCTCAGCCAGTGCTGGAAGTGTGATTGAAGTACCTCTCTTTTGTGACTCTTGTACAGCTTAATGTGCAATAAAAGAAAAGTTATATCTGTCTTCAGTGTTAAGTTGTAAAGTTTCTGGCTATTCAATTATCTCTGTACAAGTGGGAAAGCATCCAGGTTTCTGGTACAAGAGGCTGACCTATTAACCCAAATTACTTTCAAGAAAGTGCTAATACCATAATAATGCTAATATAATAATAGTTGTGGTGTCAGATTAACATGAAATAACCTACTAATATGTTGTCTGCATGAGTTATTTGACTTGAACTTGGAATTTCTTAAACATGCAGAATTCTATGTATTTATGTATGTGTTATTTATGTGTCACTAACTTGGGTATTAATTGGTTATTGATGATACAGAAGAGCCCATGCCCTGTAGTGGGAAAGGAGCTGACAATCATGGGTGCACAGTAGTATAGACACACGATTCTGACTCTCCAGAGAGTGCAGATGTGCCGGTGTTTATAGAAAACAAAGCAACAGTATGACGCCTAGCTCTAGTTTGATTTCTGTAGCCCACTCCTTCCAGCAGGCTCATGGATGTGGACTTTGGGATAGAGACTGAGATATTGGATCTTCCAGGGCAACTGAGATATTGGATCTTCCAGGGCAATTGTGCATCATTTCTAAGAGTCAGTATGTGCTCATAGGGTCATCATTTGACTTCTGAGTGTAGGGACCTTTTCAATGAAATCTGAGCAAACTTATACCACACTTTCTATCAAATTCCTGGGAGAAGGAGAGCTTCTTTTCTCTCCAGGCTACCAGATGGTTTTGTGTCTCATGCTGGGAGAAAGGTATGCTGGTTTTTTAGGGGGGCTCTTTGCCAGATGGTGCTCACAACATCCCCTCAAGCAAATGGGGCTTGAGAATTTCCCACACACCTGAGCAGCACATCTTACTGGAACCCCTGAGGATGGCACTGATAGGCAAAAGGGTGCCTGAGAGAAAAAAGGATTGATCCTGGTCATGGGAGTTAATGCTACAGTAGAGCCTATGTGGGCTGGGTGTGGCAGTCAGACTCCTGCAGGTTTGGAGCAGGATAAGTGTAGCTCCATGGGAACCATGTAAGTCAGGATCATTGATGATGATTATAACCCACAGAGTGCTTGTTGAAGAACTTTCTCATTCATTACTGTCTGAAAAGATGGGTCGTTGCCATCTTAAAAGATAACAAATGCTAGGACTTATGTTTTCATGGTTTTATGGTTGGAAAAGCCAAGGCTTAACCAAGCATGGCAGCCCATTCAGGGAATGAGTTGCCGAAGACTCTTGGGTTCTCTGATTCCCACTCCAGTGCTCTTCCCGCTGCCCTCTCCTGCATCTTGATGAGTGCAATTTGGAACTTCTGAGTAAACTGTGGAGCAGGGAAGCCTATACCTGAAGAAACTCAGGGAAGGGGGGGTGGTCCTTCGGGTCCAGGGGCCTCTGTAAAAGAACTGACTCTAAGGCCTGCTCAGTTCATCCCCTGCTTTCTTCCCTGTCCTCCTGACTTCTGCTGTGACTAAGTTGCTGTGTCGCTGAGGAGGAGCATATAAGGAGGATATATAAGGAAAAGGGCTCCCTTTGGAGCCCGTCAGAGCCTAGGGTAGCTACTTGTAATAGAGCTTATCCTTTTGGTAATTGACTAACCATGCCCTTTGAGACATAGATTCTACTAAGGAAACCCTTTGAAATGGTTAAGTTATGAAGTTTTTCTTGTACTGAACCTAGGGGGTCCTGGGCAACCCCAAGGAATGCAGCCCCCAGACAAGGTGCTGCCTCCACGACGGCTCCCCCCTGGACCATCACTGCCACCTTCCTCTTCTTCCTCCTCTTCTTCCTCCTCCTCTTCCTCGGCTCCTCAGAGGCCGGTTGGCCCTACCGTCACCCATGAAGATGCACCCTCCAGCAGCAACTCCCTGGCAGAGGCCCAGCCGCCCCCGGCCGCGCCACCACAGAAGCCTCAGCCTCACCCACAGCTCAAGTAAGAGACGACTCAGCAGCTCCTCCCCTCCTCCTTTCCTGCCCCTCCTCATGGGCCTTGGGCTCCAGATCTGCTAGAAAGGTCCTTCAAGCAGGCCTTCTCCTACAGATATTTTGTGGTGGATTTTTGGGGTTGTTTTGTGTTTGTGGGTTTTTTTTTTTTTTTGGCGTGTGTGTGGTGACTGGGTTGACAAGGGAAGGGAGGAGAGGGAAATGAAAGTCTAAGGTCTAGTTAGAAACTCACATCCCCCCTTTCTTCTTGGGGAGTGGCACTTCTGCAGTTACTGTTCCATCCCTAGTCTTGTACTATTTTAGGGTTTGGGGGGGTGTTGTTTATTTTGACCCCACCTCCCACTCTTTTTTCCATTCTTTTTTTCTGTGTTTCTCTCTCCTAAAAAATTTTTTTTCTAAAGCCTTTCCTGCCTCTGACTCACAGTTCAGGGTATGTAATCAGGGCTGCCCAGAAGGAAAAGGGGGAAGTAGTTAACTCCATCTCACCTTTTACCTTCAACTCTGCCCAAAGGTGGTGTGGGAAGCAGGGGAGGTCCAGATAGAAGCCCCTCCTCGCTGTCCTGCTTTACCAAGAATCACTGGGGACCCTTGGGAAGCAGCAGCACTAGCTTTATGAGGGCAGCACTGTGCTTTCAAAGGACAGCCTCTGGGTGAAGACAGCGGTCAGTTCCACCCTCTCCCCAGAACAGGCAGACTGCTGCTTTCTGTGTCCCCAAACAGACTCTATCACTAGGGTAAGCAGAGATAGCTGCAGCCCCAGGATGGTGGGAGTGATCCACATGTGCTTTAAAATCTGAAGTGATGGCAGTAAGTAAGCTCCAGGAGGGAGAAAGGAGCTGCAGCTTTGGAGTTCAGAAGAGCCTCTTGGAGTTATTGCACAGGGGAAGAAACCTTACTCAGAAAGATTTGACCTTTTTTTTTCAAAGCCACTTCTCCAGTTAGTGGCAGAACCAGGGTGAGGCTTTGGGGTCCAGATGGTCACTTCTCTGGATCTTCAGTCCTACAAAGGTCATCTCCTACTTCTGCACCCAGCTGTGGCCAGTGGCATCTCACATCTCACCTGCTGCATCACCTCGCTCAGTCTAGTCATTTTCTACATGCTGACTTTTTGGGTCTTCTGCTTTTTCACTAGCTGCCTCTAACTCCAGATCTTTGAGTTGTCTTTGCCTGTGGGCTGAATAGAGCCAGCCTCTGATGACAGGCTGGAGGCTTGTACCCAGTGCCCTCTGCCTGCACATGCAGAGGAACACACACGCATACACACACGCACATGAAGCCAGCGTGCTGGGGCTGATCCCGGCCTCTATCCACAGTCTCCGCAAGAAGAGAGAGACTGCCACAGGTGCCACATATGGGACTTTTCTGGGCTGCATCAGCATTTAGGAGAGAGATGGGAGACTAAGGACACCAGGAACATTCTGGAGCCAGAACTCCGTCGAAGTCAAGAAGGAGACAAGGCAGGCCACTGGAGAAGCCAGACCTCATGTCCCCTCCTGGAGTATGGACTTGGCCTCCCCACAGACTCTTGCCTTCAGTTTTTCTCTCTGAATCATTCGCTAGTCTCTGAAAGGAAAAATAAGTCCCTAAGATGTGTGTAGCTTGGAATTTTATTAGAAAATTACCTAATAATCATGGTCTGATATGTATCTCTGTTTCTCCTGCACACCCTGAACCCCACAGACTTCATATCGGGCTCCTCTGAGGAAGGCTGCAAGGGTGCCTGTGGGTCATACCTCTAATCCTACCTACCTGGGAGGCTAAGAGTGGGAGGATCACAGTTCCAGGCCAGCCCAGGCAAAAAAAAGTTCGGTAGACCCCACCTTAGCAGAAGAAAGCTAGGAATGGTAGTAGGTACCGGTCATCCCAGTGATGGATGGAAGCTTAAAGTAAGTGTACTGGTCTGGGCAAAAAGTGAGACTCCCATCTCTAAAATAACCAAAACAAAAAGGGCTGGAGGCATGGCTTGAGCCCTAAAGCACCTGCCTAGCAAGTGTGAAGCCCTGAGTTCAAACCTGTTACTGCCGCCAAAAAAAAAAAGAAGAAAAGGGAAATGGAGGCATTAAAGTTCTGAGCCAAGCCAAAAGGTTCCTTTGGAATCAGAGAATAAAAAAATATAATTAAAAAGCCTAGAGATCATCATTTTACCAAACAGCTTCATGTCACACAGGAAAAACCTAGTGCCAGAGAGGCACATGTCTGACATCCTGCCTGAGGATGTTACTCAGGTGAGTGAGTAACAAAACCATGACTTTGCTGCAGGTCTTCTAGTACTGAAGTCCACCACTTGACATAAGCCCACAGGCCCTGGTTTCTGCCTATCAGAGGAGAGGGTGTGAGATTCCTAGATTTGTGCTTACCAAGTTGGGGGCCTCCAGCCTTAAATAAAACAAATAGTCTTTGAGTCACCCCTTCTTCTTCTCTCCCTCTTTTTCCCTTCTCCCTCATTTTCACACTGTCCCATCCTTTTCTGTTTTAGCAGCACTGAAAGTGAGGATGTAGCAGAGGGGCTTCCTAGTTTCCTGGTGACATGACCACTTGTAGCTTTCTCCTGTCACCTTGATGTCCCTGGGGTGGGAATGGGGATTCCAGTTATGTATCCTCATGTCACCTTCCTTCCCTGCCTCGCTAAGAACACCACCCTCTCATGTTCTCTTTGGTTTTTATCTTCAAGCAAGTCGCAGTCCCTGACAAATGCCTTCAGCTTCTCTGAGTCCTCCTTCTTCCGGTCTTCAACCAATGAGGATGAAGCCAAAGCAGAGACCATCCGGAGCTTGAGGAAGTCCTTTGCCAGCCTCTTTTCAGATTAGCTCTTCAGACATGGGGGCTCTTGGCCCAACCAGGAGAGGCATCTAAGACACTCACCAACAACAGTCAGCCACTGTGGGTGGTGATGGCCCATGAGTCTTGATGTGTGTGGCCCCTTCCTGTGCTCTGTTGTGCTCAGTGATGTTGTGCATCCCAGAAAAGACCATATGATAGTCTCAGGGCAGGTGCCTACCTGGAGTGGAGCATCTGACATCAGAGAGGAAAGAGCTGCTTCCCTGTAGTCCTAAGAGTTTCCTTCTGAAGTCATCATTGCTGTGAGTTTAGTGGCCTTATTGTAACAGTGCCATCATGTCTTACTCTTTCTTGCAAATCCAGGATCCCTTAATTGAGGATTCCTGGAAGTTTAACCCAGCTCAGATACAGTGCTTGGCATGCCCTTGTAGTCAGTGCAACCTGTGGGAAGTATAACTTACCTAGAAGTGCTATTGGCCCTAAGTTAAACTTAGAACCTCTTTCACCCCTAGATCTTTTGTGGCACCTGTTTAAAGCACACTCCCCTCCCCCAACTCCTCGCTCCCTAGATTGCTGTTGTGGTGAATCACGGTGAGTCCACTGATACTGGAGAAAAACAAGGATCTGCAGTGTCTCCTTTCTCCTCTCTGAAGAGCCGTTCTCTTGTGTGAGCTACGGTGACCTTGAACTCCACAGCTGCACTATAGAGGAGAATGCATGCCACTATAACAGCAGTATGCCAAGCTTTGTGTTCCTACCTAATAAATGTCAAGACCTTTGGTGTAATAAAAGCAGCAAGATTAACCAGCATTTGATTCGGCCATGAGGTCTCCCCTCAGCCACTGTGTGGGCTGGGAGAGTATACGTGAATCGTGTGTGCGCTTGCAAGGGTAGGGAATGAAAAGTCTAGGAGGATGAAGCTGCTTGGACATGTGTGTGATACCGTGGGTGCACGTGTGTGTTTGCAAGAATGTGTTGAGAGTGTATCTAAACTTGTCACTTATTCAGGGCCTCCTGGCACTCCTCAATGGATCTGTCTCCCCCAAGACAGGTCCTTCCTTCAGCAACTCGGCATTTCTACCTATTGTACTGAATTTAGAGCATTTTCAATAAGCCTAGCACCCTTGCTCCCATATCAGCCAAACTAGACCCACTTTTCTGCTCCGTCATCAAGCTTCTCAGTTAAAGCCCACATGGTAGTGTCAAGGAGGCTGAATTGCCCTGCTCTGATGAATGGGGTTCACCAGCCCCAGCCCAGGCATCCTGGAGAGGCCTGGCAGCTGAGGGTGGTCTTCAAGGGACTCTGGCTTCTTTGTGACTCCCATATACTCAAGAGTGTGTTCCAAAGACCACCTCTGCAGCGATTTAAAGATCAGTGTACTAACATTGTATTGAAATAACTTCCTACATGTGATACCTGTCTTACTAAATCAACAAGATATACTCCTCCAAATGCCACTGTCTTGTTACCAGTCGTCACAAGCAGTAGATCCTAAGAGGTCAGAGAATGAATTTCTGTGGTACCAGGGCTCCTTTCTAAGTCATACTCACCCCCTGTTTTCAGGGTTCAAGGACTGAGACATGTAAAACAGAAATTAGAACCTTCCATTTAGTGATAACTGATGGTTAGGTAGTAGCTCTCCTTGTACAATATACATACCTAGGGAACAGACTACTAAACAAAAGGGAGGGACATTAGGTTCAAGGTAATTGATCTTCAGGGTTCCTTTTAGTTCCAACCACAGGTGAAGCCAAATCTCCTTCCCTCTATGATCTGTGGCTGGGCCTAAGAACAAAACTAATACACAGCAGGACAAAAGCATACACTTTTTTTCATGCTACCTCTGAACCACACACATCCCAGCATATACATTTAATGTTTTCACACATACCCAGGATCTTGATAAGAAAATGAAGACCTGAAGAAGCTATTATGTCCAAAACTTACACCCAAGTTTAAACAACGGTAGATTGTGAGGATGTGTCAAGACAAAGAGGTCTGGGTTAAAGGCAGGAAATGGTGGGGAACTAATAGAAGTGTTACAAATCTTAGTAAAGTTTTGTTTGTATGGATCCATCCTATGAAAATTCTGTCTTTGGTGATAGAAATGTTCTTTTCCTCCTTATATGGGGACAGAAAGGCAGGTGGGTTGCATCTTTCAACATGAGAGCTTTAGGTTCTACTTCTGGCAGAAAGGGGAAGGTGCACCCATCCTTACTCCACTGACTCAAAGTAACAACTCAGAGTAACCAGTGTGCCAAAGTGGCCTATTTTCAGGTGGCTTGCTCTGAACCCCTTCATAGTCAAGAGGCTTTCACTCTAGCTCCCTGGTTCCAAATAATGTTTCAATAGAATGCATTCATTTAGTCAGAAACATTTATTGGGCACTTACTATGAAGATCAACATCGTGATGGAGTCAAAGAAATATTTAACTAACATTTCTTTCCATTGAACCTATTAAGTTCCGGGCACTATTCTAAACACTTAACATATAGCAACTTACTCATTTTTTACAGCAAGCCAATAGGCTAGGTAGAATTATAATTTTACACATGAGGAAATGGAAGCACATTGAAATTCAACAGCTAATTTGAGGTCATGCGGCTGGTCAAGTGGTGGAGCTGGGATTTAAACCCAAGCAGTACAGAAGCAGAACTCATGCTATACTTTTATTTAATCTATATGTGACAATAAGATACAATTGTATTAAATAATGTGATCACAAAATAAGAGGTACACACAGAAATTCTTCACACCCATGTCTACCTTCCTTCACCTCTTCTTATCCCCTGGCCCAGGGAAAGAAGGGAGGGATGGGAGAAGGCTACAGAACTTGTAACCAATGTTGACCCCTTGTCCTAAAACCATGAGTAACATGCACTATGTATCTTATTCTGATCAAATATAATTCTGGCTCTTGAAAAAATTACTCATTCTTCCACATGTGATGTCAGACCAAAACCCACAAGTAGCTTATTTAGAAAATGAGTCAGCCTGGAGGAACTGCTGGGGTGACAAAAAAGGGAGGCGTTTACCATAGGTCATGCAGTACCCCAGTCCAAAGGACACACGAACTTTGCCCAACCCTTAGTAATGGGGTGGGGTCAGGGATAAATGAGTTCCATTCAGAAATAGGCCTCTTGGTATTTAATAAAGATGCCCCCAGAGACTGGGAGAATGGTACCTCGCAGCAACCAATAAATATCTGATGAATACTGTGATAAAAAGTGATCTAAAGCTGGACTCTCCAAAAGATTGGTCACAGTCCTGTGTGTACTTTTATGCCTTAGATCTGCAGGCCAGTAGTTATTACTGTGCAGATCACCTCTGCGGTTTAGGGGTCTTCTCACGACTTCACCCCAGATCTGTAAACACAGGGAGTCTCATCCCTGTCCTCACAGATCTCACGATCTCCTGGGTCAAGATGAATTAATTCTGCTATGTGTTTGTCCACAACTCTTTATTGTGTACTTACTAAAGCTCAATAAATTTCATAGGAGGAATATAAAAATGAGTTAAGTAAAGCTTCTGCCCTCACAGTGTATAGCCCAGCAAGGGAGACAAGCAAATTTAAAGAAGAGCGTGTAATCCCTTAAGATAAATGCAGTCAAGGTGTGAGCCTGGAAAAGAGTGAGGCTGGAGAGTTACAGGAAACAGAATCCTTACGCGTTACTAGTGGGAGCATGTTTTGGTACAACCAACTTCGAAGAACAATTTGGTGACATCCAGCACCCAAGCCCTACAAGTCAGAAATTCCTATTCTAGACAGTCTCTTCACATGGACAGAAGGAAGCCAGTAAAAGAGTATTGGTCACAACACTGAAAATCATGGAAATGGCCAGTTGTGTCTCAGTGAGGGCATTAAATCCTATGTTGTGGTTTGTTCATAAATAGGAGTGCTCTGTAGTAGTTAAAAATAGGTGAGGAATTCAGATGGGTTCAGATAAGATATGGAAGGAGAATGAGTAAGATGAGCAAGCCAAGTGTAAGATGGACAAGCAGGACATGTCACCGTGAAGCACACTTCAAGGATGGGGCGCCTGCTATCTGGGGGAAGGGGGTGATGCACAGAATTCAGTTACTGGATTTCAAAGTGGGAATTGCATCTCATCCCACCCCTCGTTCTATAGACGAGAAAATCGAGGCCAGGCCCTTAAGAAATTTGCCAAAGTCATGAAGGTGTCTTAATCCTGAGGGGTCATTCAGAACATGGTCCTTCCCAAGACAAATGAAATGGGTTTTGTTCCCAGGTGCTCTCCTAGGAGGGAGAGGTTCATGGGAGCGTTTTACTAGGTCAGGAGGAAAAGGAAGAGGCAGTGTAGGGCAGTGAAAAGAGCCTGAGTTTTGGAATCTTGAGTTTAAGTCCTGTCTCTGCTAAATTAACTATAAATTATTTAACTTTTTCTGACTCAGTTTTCTCATCTATAAAATGAGAACAATACTGCTTTTCTTGGAAGTTTGTTTTAATAATTAAATGAACAAAAATTAAAAATTTTTTTTTAAATTAAAGAATTAAAGTCTGGTTGTCATGTGAGAGGATCACAAGAAATCTCGACCTCAGGCAGAGAACACCCATGTAAGCCCCAAACACTTCCCGGGACTCCTCTCAGGGCAGCCACACAGACACCAATCATGCCTTTCCCCAGCTCCTGGAGTCAGGTGGGCCTCCGGGGCAATTTCAGCCCACCTGATGCCTTTTCCTAAGGCTATGGTTCTTAAAGGTGAGCTGAAGTTGAGGGCAGACACTTGGGAAGGCAGGTGCTGCCCACTAGCAATGGACACATACACACAACTGCAGCTATAGAAATAACATAAGCCCCACGTGACCATCATGGGCCCAGTTTTAAACACTCACACTGTAACGTTACTCCTGCAATGGAGTGGTTTCCTTCAAAGAAATTCCTTTGGAAGCCTGAGTGTTTCTTCCAGTCAGGCTGTTGCTCATGTACAGAAAACAATTGCCTTTACATCTGTAGTACATTTGAACCTCCAGAACTCTTGGAAGATCGGGACTTTACCCGGGAATCTAGAGATTCCTGCACAAAGTATTCTGTGTACTACGTGTTTTGGCAAGGCTTTAACACACACACACTCATACATACATGCAAAGATTAAGAATCATTGAATTAGGGAGTGAGTTTTGATTTAAATGAATCATTAAAATCTAATATTTAAGCTACATATTATGTGAGCTCCAAAACACAATGTGATCATGAATTAAAGCGATAATATTGTATGGCTTGTAAATTAGTTCTAAAGTAAAAGAATCCCAGAAAAGGAGTCCCAGATAGGTTTTGAATAGTTTCCCTTGGAAAGGAATGGCATGCCCCATTTGGTTATTGATTTTGAAAGAGAATATGCGTTCTGGTAGGCCAATTCTGTTCAACAATCTCATTGTCTAATTTATAGGTTACAAGTCACATTCAGAATGTTTGTCTCCTCACAGTCTGCATCCCCCGAGTCTGTGCCTCATTCACCATCATCCACATCATCTTGTGTTTTTAGGGTACTTTGCAGCTCACAAAGCCCTGATTGAGCCACCATCATTTTGTGTCCTGCCAGAGCCTCAGGAGACTAGCCGTTATTATGGGTGACTTCCGAGTGTCTGGGCTCTGGACTCACACTGGAATGGTATTTTTCCTCTTACAAGTCTCCTTGGACTTCAAGCTGTTTATATGTAAACATGTAAACAAATAACACAGCTAGTCATTCCCTCTGATTTGCACCTCTGATTCAACACCCTAGTGGTTTGTGTGACTACTGATACACGTACACACACACACACACACAGTGCTGGTCATTGGTCTG